GCGGGTCATCCTGGTTACAAGACATATTCCACTCGCTGAATCAACAGGGTCAGTTTCTCAGTGGACTGGATCCAGGTGATTGAGAGGTAAAACTAAATTGGCCAGCTTGAGTCACAATTTACACCAGAATTGAAAGATCACAGATACAGGCACCTGACCTCACGTAGCATTACCTCCTTTCCTCAAAAAGAAATGGACATTTAAAAAGCACAGAGACTACTGTGCATAATGAGTAACCTTTGCAACTTCAAGTAGAACTTACTGATGATTCTTATTTACTTAAATGATATCTGACTGCATAACTTTTTGCTTGTAACAGAGTAAATTACAGTATTTCGAAATCAAATAAAGTGCGTAGTTCTTCCATCACCTATCTTTGGCTGATTTTTGAGAGTCGTTTTGGGATAGGCCTCCTATAAACAATCAAAGCTTGCATTTGACTGTATTCTGTGATTGCATGATTGTTCCAGGGCAGCCACATAAAAAAGCTGAAAAGACTCCAGCTTTTTATTATAGCTTTTTTCAAAATGTAATTCATTTGTTACAAAAGAAGGTTTCACAAAATGTCCCGAGAGAACAATTGAGAGCAAAGAGCTGACGGTTTACCTGACAAACACAGTGAGACAGACTGTGAATAGCACAGTTAGTTTAGTTGTTAATGCCACAGCCAGAGTTTAAAGAAATCTGTTAGAATCTGCAAAGCTAATTGGATTCTTTGTACTGGCACTGAAACTGATGGTGAGGGAAATAGGCAACAGATCAATCACAGATCCTGGAGTTCTTTAGTGAGCATTTAAAATTCATGATGATAAGAGAAAGCTTAAATATCAGTATAAACAAACGCGAAAGCTCTTGCAACATACTATGTGCCCTGCAAGAGCACATTCATCATCAAGGCACAATCAACCGTGTCAATTTTGTTGTTTGTTCATTGTTTTGTGGAAGAATTACTGTAGTTTCTTCAATTAAATTGCAGTCAATGTATTGAGTCAATTGGCTAACGTAATGTTAGAGTTAATATCAGTCAATCAATCAAATATTATTTGTATAGCCCATATTCACCGATTACAATTTGTCTCATAGGGCTTAACAAGGTGCGACATCCTCTGTTCTTATCCATCAACAAGAGTAAGGAAAAAATACCCCAAAAAACCCTATTAACAGTCAGGTTCGAGCCATTTCTCAGAGGATTCAATCACTTGATGACAACAAAACTCCAGAACTTAAGCCCAACTACAAACAAAGTGGACATTTCCAGCATCAATCAATTTAAACAACGGAAGTAAAAAACAAAAACTTGAATGGTCCTGATAGCTGACCGGGAGACTGACAACACTAATCCTCCTCCTCATCACTATAGGACACACTGACCACCAGACAGACGGACTGACAGTGAGGCCCTTTGTGTCCACTGACAATGGGGTTTTGTCCCTCCCTGGGATGTGCTAATCTCAGGATGAAGCCCTTCAGTTTCTGTTCAGGGTTGGTGGTTACAGAAGACACAAGGAGTGTCAGCACAGACAGAGATGGAGGAAAAAGATAGACGAAGGAGGAAACCAGGATAGACAGAATAAATAAATCACAATTTGCCCTCAACGACTGAGGAAAAAAACGCAGACACCTGAGAGAGAGCTGCAAGCAAGAGATCCCTCTACTAGGATGGACAGAAGTGCAAAAAATGCTGCTTGTAAAATAGCACATTGACAAAATAACAAAATTCATGGAAAAGAAAGTGTCTAACATAAACGGAGAGATGTATCATGAAGAGCATACCTTGTCATTCTCAGTCTCACAAGTAGTAAGGTTAAGAAGGGAAAGAGCAATGCTACCATGATCGGAAAATGATTTATTGCCAGAGGGGCAAGATCGTACATAGCAAATGATATGTCCAAATCCCCATGAAACTTATACCGTCTCTTGTATGTGACATCTCAGAACTTGTGATGGCACTTTGAGTGTCAGCGAAGATATTTCTTCAGTCTGCTGGGTAGGATAAATCCCTGTAACTAGATGTTAACTGTGGAAAACAGTTACTCTGGACTTAAAGGTTCAGTGTCTTAGACTTAGGTGAAAGGGATGCATTGGCAGAAATTTAATAAAAAATAATCCCAGTGATGTTTTCCCTAGTGTGTTTCATCTAAATTTTACAAATTGTTTTTTTCTTTACCCTAGAATGGGTATTATATTTAACTAGTTTATATTTACATCAGGAGCGGGTCCTCTCTACAGAGGCTGCCATTTTTTTTACAGTCGTCTAAACTGGACAAACTAAATACCATTTGAGTTTCTATGACAATGATTTAATAATTGGAAGGGGAGGGTGAGGTGAGGGGTATTCAGCTGCAACATGCAACTTCACCACTAGATGTCACTAAATTGTACACACTAAATCTTTAATTGCTGAATCATCAAATGACCTGACTGACCCAGCATAAGCTTTAGGCCCCTCTGCTATTATGAAAAAGATGAAATATAATATAGTATAGCAGTATGATACAATGGCTTAGTTTGTTGCAGAAGTATTTCTGCTCAACAGTTATTTTTAGCTGTACAGTCTCCCGTCACCCACCTCCTTCACCTCTTTTGGAAACAACAAATTCTGCACTAATAGAAGTAGCAGAACAGTGTGCCACAAAACTGATAAAGGCAGATGTGGGGAAGCTTTTTACAATAAAATGCTATTCACGTTTTTATATAATCCTTTGTGGTTCATACTAAATTAGTGAACATATATAACACCTATCGAAGGCAGTGGCTGGTATTGCTTCTCTTTGGCGTCTGATGATCTGTCAGATAATAGTGATCATGATACTACCCACAGCTGGTTTTGGCCAAAACAACAGTCCTCCCCTTTGGTAGTACCACACATGACTTGATCAGTGTTACCTTTATCCAAGCACATTCGTTCATGCAACTCATCCAGACTAGCTGCATGTTTTCAGTTGTAATGATGCTCGAGATCTGCCTATGTCGTCATTATCGTCAACACAAACTAGCCACACTGGCTTCTCTTTAACATCAAAAAATGTGTTTGTTCTTGAAGGTCCTGAAGGATATGTTCATCTACTATTTTCTACTAGTGCAGTGCCCATTCTAAATCTGGCTGTTGATATGGGCAGTGTGCTTGGCCTGTGGTGAAGCTGATTGCAATGTTTTTTCTGAAACTGTAAAAACTGACCTGCAGAAATTGAGCTATGATAAATAAAGGACGGCTGCTATACGCAAACTTCAGTGAAGCTTGATTCACAACAACCGGACCGGAGGAAAACTTGACTTGCCATTGTTGTGAAAGAGCTGTTGTCATGTCACTGATATCTTGATGAGTCCCAGTTGCCTCTGCTACAGAGCACGTTTATTCATATTTTATAAATATCGAACATAACACATTGCCCTTAACAGCACACATTATTTGCGTGAAGCCAAAAGGAGGAACGGCTCTTGAAGTAAGCATTCCACATACAGACAGTGATTTCTGGAAATAGTTCATTCTTATGTCACAGAAGTATTTGCAGTAACAAGAGTTTTTTTGGATTGGAATGTTATATTTTCAGGAATTGTCTGGGTGGCCAAATCAAATTATAGCCAGGAGGCAGGGGAGGTTCAGATTTTAAGATAATGTTCACAGGGTTAACTAAACAGATTTATGGTGTGAGCATGAACTACAACCCCCACAGCTTGAATAACACAAAAGAGCTCTACATGTAATTCTTCATCTGACTCTTCCTTTATTTCCTGTCATCATCAACTGTTTGTATACTTCAGCAAAACCAGCTACATAAAGGTAACTGGGCAACTAATGGGATAAGTAAAAACATGTCACACCCATGCAAACATTGATAGTCAGTAAAGTGTAAGACAGGCAGATATTGTCTGCCTGATGTCGGGACGTTCTCTGAGATGGTAGCTTTGTACAGAGGGAGAGCTGGGACCATCAGCCAGCTGTTCAGTACTCTTACAGTAGATCTATTCTCTAACAGCCCACCCATGGGCCATTACTCATTACTCACGCCTCTCATTCGTCCTCTGTAGTCTCTCTCTCTCTCTGTGCCTCTGCTCGTAATGCCACTTAGACAAAACATGGCAGAAAGGGAGAATCACTGACAGGGGGAAGATATGCATGAGGAGAATGTGCCAATGTATAAAAGTAGGAGGGCAGAGGAGTAACACAAACAGAGCAGCAGAGTACTGAAAGCACACACACTCAGGGGGAGAGACTTTACATTACCATGCACACAGTCTGCACACTCAGCCTCAGAAAGTACAGTTTGCAAAGTTTTAAGTTTAGAATAAATTTTTTTTTTTAAACTTACAACACAGGGATTTAGCCATATTCACTTTTAGACAACAGTCCTGACAGGTGCTAACAACAGTAGATCTCTGCTTGCCTGGCTCCCTCATCCACTCATGAGTGCTCATTACCCAAAAAGCTTTGGAGGCTGCAGGTTATGTTTTGCATTACAAGATGATTTTAAGAGACTAAATGAATCTTGTTTTGGACAGCAGAGTTTAACATCCAGCTCTAAATGAAGCTCAGGGGGAGAAGTTCCAAGTTTAGAGAGACAACAAGAAAAGAAAATGTTCCACATCTCTCTGCAGAGTTTAACTGCTGCAGTGAAGCTCAACAGCTATAACATGACAAGTTGAGTGAGCAAGGGAACTACCAAATAGACCTTCTTCTTATTATTGTTGTTATTATTATTATTATTATATTAATTCATAACCCTCTTGTGAATGGATACGTGTGTGTATATAATTCTGCATATGCATGCATGTATATGTTTATTTAAATATCTCCTTATACATACTGCACAACTACATCCTCGTGAGCCACTCTGCTTTCCTCATATTATTCCATCTTAACTGAAAGAAGTACATCTACATCTGACCTTAAAATAAATAACGAGGTAGTGTTTTGTTTTCTCCCTGAGACAACACTTGTCTCTTCTCTCTGGGAGCGAACCTCGATGATCAGATGTGAAACTTTTCCAAAACAAACTTACCCGCAGAGGGTTTTCCAGGATCTCTGCCCGGAGAGCGGAGGTCAGATGAGGAGAGCTTGTATTCGCCATGTTTTCCTCTGTCGAGCAATAAGTGAAGTAGTTTTGTTCTATGACGAAACTCCTACTCTCTGCTCACATCTCTGTCCGCTGTCTCCCACCTCCTCTCACCCTGCATCGCTCGACCTGTCGCCCGAGAGGAAACTCAGGAGCCACAAGTTCCTCAGATGTGTCGCATGTGGCAGCAGAGTTTGTGATGCCTTCAAATGTACTCGGGAGAATTGACTTTCAATTGAGGAAGTTGTGTAGCAGGGGTCCCCCAAAGTCCAGACACGTGATATTGTTTTTGTATCTTGTGCGAACAAGATTTTAACTGAACCAGACCATTTACTAAACATGAATATCCGTTTACAACGACTTCAGATGCAGTTGCAGCCACCACAAGGTCATTATTATCTAATGCACACCACATATAAAAAAATAACACTTTGGTTTGCACACCTGCAAGACTATGTTGGACACGAATTAATCCATTGTTAAAATACCAATGGCCTTTAATGATACTTTTCAATAAACTATATCAGCACACACTGTAGGTAGGCATACTTCGTTTCAGTTCCCGCTTTGTATATAACTACTGGCGATGAACTCCTCGGATGTACGACGTCACGGAGTGTCCATGAACGTTTCATATGAGGAGCGGTGCCATTCCGTCGCGGGTCTAAAGCGCGCACATGGTGCACGTGCAGGGCTGCTGTTTTACTCTGAAGAATTATTTCCTTTAACGATGAGTTATTGTCGTGTTATGATTTATTATATTGCTTTTATCGATTTTTTAATTTTTAATAATGGATTTCACTTCTGTTGTGGTTTTTCTTTGACTAATATTTAATGTCATTGGATAGATGTTATTTCACTGATGTTGCGTTCTAAACTGGACTGTATTGTCTATTCTACTGTCTTCACGCTCTGTTTTGTGCTTTGGAAAATAAGTGCCAATAAAGTGAAGTGGCTGTAAAGTAAATAAACTGCAGTCATATCATGAGGATCATTTTCACACATGTTGTGCTTCCTGCACGTGAACTCTGTTTCAAGGTCCTTGAAGTAGCCACGTGGACACAAGATTTACAGTGTTTGTGATGAAATGAAAAGAGGACTTAATTTTCTGCTTGGCAGTATTTGTGATCCTCCTGGGTCTTAAGCCTTCAAATCAAATCAAATCAAATTTTATTTGTATAGCCCAAATTCACAAAACACATTTTGCCTGAGAGGGCTTTACAATCTGTACAGGTAGTGACACCCTCTCAAGCCTTGAATGCAATAAAATGTGATGAGTGTAAACCCTAAAGCCATTTTATCCAATAGAAAGTGTCTCTCTAATGTTTTGAACTTATATCACTGAGCACTATTGTGGAGTATGTGTGGGTGTATAGACTAGATCATGGAGAAGATCAATTCTATCATTAAAACAAGATGAAGGTAAATAAATAAATACATTTTAAACTTTTGGTGGTACCTAAGGAGACTCTGGAATACTGGACTCAGGACTCAGGACCTAAGTCTGGGGGACAACTTCCTGGATGGCTGGACAACACATCTGATTTCAAAGAGTCACGTGGTGTCCCACTTGTTGGATTGTTCTTAATATACAGACAACAGGTGTTTGATGAGGACGAATCGTCATCATCACAGCTTTTGGAAAATTCATGAGCAGCTGAGAGGGAGCTGAAAAATGGATATCCTAACAAGCGATGACAAATAAGGTCGGCCACATCAGGAGGACACTCTCTGATCTCCAGTCAGAACGGGTCCAGCTGCGGGTACGTCCCCGGTCAAAAGGATGAAGTGAGACACATTGCTGCGTTGTCTTTCATGGGATTTCACTGATCCGGCTTCCTGTCTGTGAATAGATGAATGATGAATGCTTGTTTGTTCTGTTGTGCTCAGCACAAACAAAATCATTTCATGCAGATGGAGCTGCTGCTTTCTTTGAGAATACAAAGCTCAAATATGAATATTCATTATTTCCTGACTGATATAATCCTACACTCAACAATCATATATGTTGGTATGAGGGCTATTATACATTTGGGAAATATTACCACATTACTATAATTCATATTCAAAAGCTAATGTCAAATGGATTAATATAGACATCAAACATTTCAGATTTAACTTACAGTGTACTGGGTGATTGGTGGGGTCATTATATACCCTGCACACAAAAATTAAGGGAACTTAATTGTCACATTATTACACAAAGTCAGGTAAACTTCAGGGATATTAATCTGTCCATTTTGGAAGCACAAGTGATAGTGAATCAGTTTCACCTGCTTTGTTGCAAATGAAATTTCAATGGAGAGGCAGAGCAAGACAACATCTGTGCTGGCCACAGACAGCTGCTCTCTCTTTATCCTTCCTGACTGACTCTTCTCTAGTTTTATGTTCTACTAGTGGTCTTGTAACTACTGGTAGCATGAGGCGGTACCTGCAGCCCAAGTAGGTTGCACAGGTAGTCCAGCTCCTCCAAGATGGCACATGTGGCAGAAGGTTTGCTGTGTCTCCCAGCACAGTCTCAAGAGCATGGAGGAGATAGCAGAAGGGCTGTGTCTTTACAGGAGGAGAGCTGGACAGGGCTGTAGAAGGGCTTCAACCCAGCAAGCAAAGCAGCAGCAAGCAGCAGCAAGCAGCAGCAAGCAGCAGCAAGCAGCAGCAAGCAGGATCTTCCTATCCAAGGAGGAATAGGAGGAGCACTGCCAGAGCCCTACAAAGTGATCTCCAGCAGGTAACTGGTGTGCATGTTTCTGACCAAACTGTCAGAAACAGACTCCATGAGGGTGGCATGAGGGCCGTCCTCTAGTGGGACCTGTAAATGGTAAATGGTTGTATTCATATAGCGCACCTGTGCTCACAACAGCACCGTGCAGCTTGTTTGACATTCACCAGAGAACACCAGAATTGGCAGGTCTGCTACTTGCACCCTGTTCTCAGATGAGAGCTGGTTCACACTGAGAACATGTAACAGGCGTGAAAGAGTCTGGAGAAGATGTGGTGACCGTTATGCTGCTGTAACATCATCCAGCATGATCAGTTTGGTGGTGCGTCAGTGATGGTCTGGGGAGGCATATCTTTGGAGGGTCGCACAGACCTTCATGTCATAACCACCAGTACCCTGACTGCTGTTAGGTATCAGGATGAAATCCTCAGAGAGATTATCAGACCGTACACTGGTGCAGTGGGCCCAGGGTTCCTCCTGGTGCAGGACAATGTCTGGCCTTCCCCTGACCTACATCCAATTGAGCACATACGGGACATTATGCATCTGTGCCTCCAACACTGCCAAGTACCACCACAGACTGTGCAGGAGCTCACTGATGCTCTGATCCAGTTCTAGGAAGAGATCCCCCAGGACACCATCCATCAGGAGCATGCCCACACAAACAGGCTCAATGAGGCCATACACACTACTGAGTCACATTAAGAGTTGTTGTGATGAAATTTAGGCAAGTTGGATCAGTCTGTGATTTCAATTTCAATTTCAATTACTTTGATTTTCAGTGTGGTTTTGAATCCAGCCCTCAACCGACCATTGTAACGTCATTTTGTTTTCAACACATTATACAATGTACATCAGTAAAGATTTTTAACTTGAATAATTCGTTCATCAAGATCTGATGTGTGATTTAATTGTTCCATAATTTTTTTTCAGCAGTGTATATTAATGTGAAATTCATTATATGATATATATTCACACACACATCATTCAAACAGTGCTGGCACAGCCGTAGGAGACAATTTGGGATTCAGTATCATGCCCAGGGAATCTCTGCCATGCGGAATGAGGGAGACAAGGATTGAAATGCTAACCTTCTGGTTAGTGGGTAACTCGCTCTACCTCCTGAGCCAGTGCTGCACATAGATTAACTGTATCAACAAGTTGGTGAAAAAAACTGTACTGTAAAGTGAGTGGTCATCAAGGCTAGAAAAATGCAGTATAAATTCAGACATGTACGTCTCTGTAGACATTCTTGCATTTATTTGTTGTTGTTTAGCATTTTTAGTTTGGTCATTTAATTACTTGTTGGTTGAGAAAAGCTAACCATCACTGTCTGCTGATACTAAAACTACCCATCACCCTCTCACTCTGGCAATGTGGGGCATCAGAGGTGGTCGATAACATGTCAGACTGGCCTGCGGCACCCGCATGCCCATTTGTACAAATCCAGTTTATTGTAGCTCAGGATGATAAACAACATCATTTCAGATTTGGAAGTCGACAGTGGAAAGAGGTCAGTGGTGTCTCGCTAATAGACATCCCCTCAACTTTAGAGGAGAGGACAGTCAGTCACAGCACAGCTCTGCACGATGGCACCAACCAGTGAATGTTAAGGACTCAGCTGTCAAAGCTGACTGTAAAAACTACATGAAGCAGTAGCACAGAAGTAAATGAATTGCAAGTATAGCCATACAATGCTGTGCTATTTTTTGTGTGGGCAGAGCTCGGATGAGATCGTATTGTTCCAGCTATTGTCAGGGAGCTGTCTCTGTATTTAGGTCATCACTACTGTTACATATTATTGCTTGACATCAGAGCCAATTAGTGCTCATCATGTCGAGCATAAAGACTCCATCCAGATGGACTCAGGTCTAATAATTTGTCAACATGTTTTATGTGTGATTACAGCGCTGAAACTCACACGTCTTAAAGCTGGAAACAGCCAGTTTGTATTCATGCCGCTCCTTCATGTGTCTGTGCTTTGTCCTGAGTCAGCCTGCTCTCGCTGCCATAACAATCAAGGCCCATTTGAAGTGATTACTGTGGTGTGAAGTGGAAAAGTGAAGATGAGGGAAAGCACATTTTATTTCACATGATGGAATAACAAATCATTTATTGACAATTTTTTTTCCTATCTCTCAGGAGACTACTGGCTCATCCATCATGGCTGGCAGGCATTTGGAGCTAGCTTTGACTGACAGCTTCTGTCATGGATAGAGGGCAGGGCTGTTTCCCCCAGCGGTTATTGAATTCCTCAGAGATGCTCCGGATGACACCCTGCTTTTTCCAGTCAAGGATGAGAACGGTGAACCTTGACCTCTGAGGACGAAAGCAAAGAAATATGAGTAAAGGATATAAGACGCAGGCAAGAGGAAAATGAGTGGTTATAAATGTTAAGAGAGACATATAAAGATAGCAAGGGAGTGGGAAAGAAAGCAAAGGAAGGAGAGAGAGCTATAAAGGCAGCCGAGCAA